CACGCGGGATGCAGTGGTAACAGCCACCCCTTCTCGGCCTAAGGCTACCGACCCTAGGGATCAGATTGAGCAACATGTGGCCCTTGTCAAACTACGGCAGAAGCAACAGCGCCTCCTGACGGTTCAAAAGTATTTGGATCTTTTGGGACGTCAGCCCGCAGCATCACCAGACTTTCTTGACCTAGAAGATATTTTCAGCAAGTCAATATCTCTACCAGAGGTTCCAAAGGAGGTTGTGAGCGGCTTTTCTGTTAGCGCCAGTACAACGAAGACCAACCTGGGAGGTCTGGCTGATCAACTCGAAAAAGTCGTGTTGAGAGCTAAACTGCTGCTTCAGCGTGAAGAGCAGCTCCTTAACGGTGTTCGACAAAACACAGCATCATTAGCAGGTCAAGTCAGCGACGAGGCAAAGGCGCATGCCTTGGATGCTACTCGAGTTGAATTGATCAACTGGATCGAGACGGAGCTCAGTAAGGCTTCAGGAGAAGCAGACGACCAGGCAAATGGATACAGCGGCCATACTGAACAAACCACTATCGACAAGCATCTGGGCGAAATCAAGAGCAAGTACAACAAATACGTAGCGTCGAGGAAAGCGCTGCTCAACATCGTCTCAGAGCAGACGCAACCGGTCCTGAAGCCTGGCAATGACGCCTCATCATCAAATGGTCAAAGCCAGTCCATCCCACCAGCACCCACTGGGCACCTCCTGTTGCCTTACCTCGAGAAACTCCTCTCGCTTTCTCGAGAACAGAAGGGGATGATCACACAAAAGTCACACATCCATAATGTTCTAGCTAAGCAGGCGAGGGAAACTCGACAGGCGCTGGACCATCTCGCTGAAGAAAGCCAGCTTCTTCCGGGACATCCTATGCCTGGGGCAGGCAGACCCAAATCAGGGTTCGGAGAGGACTTCTCCACAGCTATGGCCGAGAAGCCAGTGCCTTCAGACCGAGTCAAGCCCTGGGTGTTCGCGGCAGACTCGGCCAAGATTGCGACGTTGGAGACTGTTGCGGAGAAGATTGAGGAAGGCCAGGTCGCACTGGAAGGCTCTACAACGGCGCTTCAGGACATTGACAAGCTCCTGGGCCACGAGCCGAAACAGGCCGAGATGGAGGCGGGGGATACGACGGAGGAAGACATATGGTTAACGCAAGGGTCAGAAAACAAGTCCGGGATGAGGCAGCATATCAGACATCAGAGCAAGGGATCCATGGTTAAGCATGACGATATTTGGTCTGTCATCGATGGGAAGCTCGGTCTCATTGGTCATGAAGATCATATTTGATTTACTCTGCAGCTGTTACATACCCTTCATAGATGAATTTTGTTTGCCATTATCAACGCCTCTAACTAGCCAATCCGGACGCCGCCTAGGGTTGATCAAGCCCACGACTTAGCCTGAGTACTGATCAGTTGCCACGACCGCTCATAACCCCCGATATCCTCAAGGCCAAATCGAGGATAGACAGATGCTCATCCGCGCCATCCACAAGTCTTTTATCGACTTCGGAAAAGATGAGAACGATCTTGTTCTTCTGTACATCTGGGATCGTCTCGTCAAAGACGAGTGCTTGGTAGAGCTGGAAAACTATCAGCAATGCGACGAGCAGCCAAGATTTGGGGGTTGGCTCACCTGAGTAACAACCTGGCCAGCACTCCAGCCATCTGCCACCATGTCCTCGACGACCTTGGCCACCCCTGCGTATGTGTCTGCAGCGCCTTGTGGGCGAATGGCAGAGACTAATGTGTCGATAGTCTTGTCAGGAATGACACCAGCGATATCTTCAATAATCTTTACCGTGACGGGCTTCTTGTCGACATCCATAGCATCAGCCCCCGCGGCATCTTTGTCGCCCGCGCCCACTAGTCGCGCAGCACTCTGCAGGAATGTGATGGCCTTTCTCAGATCACCCTCACTGCACTTGATGAGGGCGTCCACTGCGCCGTCCTCCAGCTGTACACCCTCGTTTTCTGAGATATCCTCCAGCCTCTTCTTCGTGTTAGTCTGGTCTAAGCTCTTGAAGCGGAACTTGCTGCAACGACTAGCAAGGGGATCGATGATTCGCGTGACGTAGTTGCAAATCAGGCAGAATCGTGTGATTTTGCTGTATGTCTCCATGGTGCGGCGCAAGGCACTCTGTGCATCTTGGGTCATGGAGTCGGCCTCATCCAAGATGATAATCTTGAATGGCGGGCAAGGGTATCTTTTCTTGTATTCGTTCGTCGGGTTCGTCAACTGCATGCGAGCAAAGTCCTTCACCTTCTCTCGGACGATGGAAATTCCACGCTCGTCGGAAGCATTGAGCTCGAGCACACGCGATTTGATCATCTCGGGACCGTAGAGTTCTTTGGCCAAAGCTAATACTGTAGAGGTCTTTCCTGTGCCTGGTGGGCCGTAGAAGAGCATATGCGGCAACTGCGTTTCGGGGTTAGCGATGTGCCGTTGCATCGGGGAGCGATCGTACGTTGGAGGCTTGCAGCGTCCTCTGCAAAACGGTGACGGTGTGGTCTTGTGCTGTGACATCGCTGAGAGTCTTGGGACGGCTATCGTTGAACGTTAGCATGGCGAGTGAAAACGCGTACGACTTCTAGGAAGTTCGGGGGAAGACGAACTATTTCTCGACCCATGGCTGTGCTCGTGGCGGTTGCGCAGATTTCTCTTGTTTCTGGGTCGACGTGCCGTTTGCTGCGGCGGCCTTCCTGGCCTTCAGGTCGAAAAAGCTCGCCATGTGTAATTGACCGTTATTTCGATTGAAGATTTGTCGTTGCAGGTTGTGATATGTTGTCCTGTTCGATCAATCGTAGCTCTTCTCTGCACCTCAGGTATGTGGCGGTAGTGACGGTCGTAGAAAATCAATTAAACTGACAGACGCGCTGCACAGTCGATTTGACGCGTGTTGGAGCTTTCTTGACTGACAGGGGTGTAAATCCACCGCGTCGACGGAACCCCGCGACCGTCCCACTTTCGAGGTACCCTCGGAACCTTACAGAGATACGTACCGAAAGCTCTCTACCTAGACCGGGATACATAAGGTAGGTAGGCACTCACTTCAATGTTGAAACTATCTTACTCTTGTCAAAAAAGCGATCACGAACATCACTTCTTTCACAGTAATCTACTTCTTTTCATCGTGAGTTTTTCTGTACTTCATTTCATTCGCCAACTCGCTTCGTTCATTCAAAGTAGATTGTCCACTGGCTAAGAACATGACCAGGACGAAGGTCCGGATGGTTAGGTGGGCATAAAGGTTTTCTGTATACGAAAAGCAAGCTGGTCATCGCTTTCTCGTTTTCTCAAGCAGGTCTCTATGGTACGGGGGGGGGGGGGGTAAACAATTCCTCAGAAGCTGCTTGTACACGTAAGATAATAATGTCATGAAAGGGAGGGGGAGGAGAAGGAAGCATTATCCGATATGGAACCCGATGGCATCCGATGTAAGATTTCGAGTAAGACCTTACCCAGATTACCAGGACTCAGGCCCGGTGAGAGGCGACCTTTGAACGGTTAGGAGCGGCAAGGGATCATTTGACAAATATAGTGAACACCGCCTAAAGCAAGTGCCACACCTCATCCAATGCCATCAATACTCCTGTAGGTAAAGCAGGCTCTGTTTGGTAGAGCCGATTGTCTGACATCAAGTATCTCATTCAGCCACATCTCATTTAAGACTAAGATATCCTATAGGCATTCCTCCAGGTCGTCACTCGGTTGCATCTCTCAAATTTCGCATCTATGAAAGCACCCTTTTGCACTGTGGGGCTTGAAAGGAGTTCTTAGTTGTGAAGTTCAAAGAGGCCTCTTCACCATACAATAACGCTGCGATTCACCTGCATCAACGCACGCTAAAATTACCCCTCCTGCCCCGCCAAGTTGCCAGTTTAGGCACCTGGTGCAGCTGCCTCGTCCCAGCGTCCCATCAACTAAGGTGAGTCCTTACCGCCCAGAACTGGTACTTCTACCAGCCCGAGCAGCATTAAGGTAGTCTGTGGTCGTACCTACCCATCTCCCTACCCTGGTTTTCGACCACCAACCAAGCAACCGACAACCAACAGAACCCACCTCGAGGTTGCATCTGCTCGGTCGCAGAGAGCGCTTTACTGACCAGACATCTACCATTCTCCCAGGCTCTCAGGCCGCACTCACATCTTCGATTCTCCATCAACTACCTACCCCACGTCAAGGAGAATCTACGATCACTGCCAACAACCAAGCATCTGCCAAAGCACACCTACTGACTGTCAAGGGGCAGCGCCTGATCCAGCTGGCATCATGGCGGATCAATCCATCATTCGGATTACCAAGGTACCTTAGCTGCCCCGCCCCTCACCAGAGCATTGAAGGAGGGGTTAGAACCGCAAGGCTGACGTTTGATCGCACAACAGGAACTCGGCGACATCCAGCGAACCTCGGATCTTTGTACGAGCCTCCCCGCGAACACAGTCGAGTCCACATGCTGACCTCCTTGCCAGCCATAGCTGTCGCTTGTCGCGATGTCGATGTTCGCAATGTTAAGGCCTTGATCATCGGACCTCACGACACTCCGTATGAGTTTGGGTTCTTCGAGGTACTAATTTGCTGTGAAAGTGCCTGATTTGCTTGCAGTACTAACGGGAAAGCAGTTTGCGATCAGATTCAATAAGGGTACACTTTTACCATAATATGGCAATGATGGGTGGGTTGGACTGACGCAAAAGTAGATTACCCTAGGAAGTCGCCCAATGTCAACGGTATTACAACGAACGGAGGTCGATGCCGATTCAACCCCAACATCTACTCGTCCGGCAAGGTTTGCTTGTGGGTTTACTTCCCGCAACAGAGCATTCTAGGAGCAAAGAGCACTAACGTTCTGCAGGTCCATCCTCGGGTATAGCTAGGCGCATGGGATTTGCCAAGGGACTTTTGACTAACAGGGCCTAGCACATGGCGTGGAGATCGTGGAGAGGAATGGTCTGCAGCACAAGGCCTCGAATCTATCCTCATTTCAATCCAGAGCTTAATGTCCGGAAACCCTTACGAGAACGAGCCTGGATTCGAGGAGGCCAATGAGGCATCGGATAAGAAGAACCAGAAGGACTACGTCCAGAAGGTGAGTTGACACTCTTGTGTGTTAGAATGATGAGAGACAATGGGGCTAATGCTTGCCCTAGATACGTCACGAAACACTTCGAATCTCCGTCATCCAGCGTATGGAGGAATACCTTGGTCTCACACCCGACGGCAACGCTATTGCCCAACAGTCTGCGGCAGACGGAGACCAACTGGATATCGACAACGATGATATCGACGATACGAACGTTCCTTTCGAACCTTTCAAGGATTTGTGTAAGCGGCGATTCCTATGGTACTACGACAATTACCTCCTTGCCGTGCAAAAGGCCAAGGCCGAGGTCAAGGACCACCAGGCGTTTGTTCGCATGCCGTTTGAAGGTGCTAGCAACACCATGGACGGCAAGTTCAACTACACAGAATTGGAAAGACGCCTGCGGAATGTCAAGGCTGCGCTTGACAATGAGCTCGTCAAGTGGGCGAAGGATGGCGAGGTTGCGATCGAAAAGGAAATGACGCTTTCTGTGAACTTGCGCCACCAGTATGAACAAGTGGTGCAGGCATTCAAGCGTCAAGACATTCCTCACGATATTCAGTTGGAGGACAACAATCCTTTCGTTTGGGTCATCACCTATTTCGGACGTCCAATGACGAATCTCGATGGTGGCCTATTCCGCTTCAAAATCCACTTCAGTACCAAGTTCCCCGAGGAGCAACCTCGAGTCAAGTTTCACACACGCATTTTCCACCATCGCATTGCAGAAGACGGGACAGTTTGCTATTTCCCAAACTCACTTAGAAAGGAGGATGTGCGAACTCACATCGAGGCTGTGTTCACGGCACTGGAAGAAGAAGATCCGGCTTACGACCCTCGAACTTTGGTACACCCTGAGGCGCACACTCTCTACTGGGGAGGTGCCGAGGCGCGGAAGAACTACAACAGGCGGCTCCGTAGATCTGTGCAGCAGAGCATGGAGTAAGTCGCTCTTGAAACCTTGTCCTGCGTTCATGAGCTAAACTTTTCAGTGACTTTTGATATTGCTTCTCCAAGCCACCTTCAGGCTAAGGCACATCACCATGGGTGCGCGGGTATTCACCACGCGACCAGCGAGGTACAAAAGGTCGCAATTTTTCCGGTCATCGGTTTCCCCGGTCATAATGAGGATGGTAGTGAAAAATTGATCTTGGCTTGTCCAAGCTCAACTTGCTTTCAAAGGACTGGACGGCGTTAATGGCATCGGAATCATGCATATTTAGGAACGGGCTTGGGATTGTCCCGCTAGACTCCAGTAGATACCTCGGATAATGATGCGACGAAAGTAGCTACGTTCGAAAGTTGATATCGTTGTTTTTTCTTCTCCTCAAAATCAATATGGAAATAGGCCCCGGCCTAACACATCAAAACGCCTTCCCTCCCATGCACCCTATTCATGCTCAACGCCTCGTAATCTCATGACCTCAGTAGGAAAGCATCAATCATACACCCATTCCCGGGATGTCTGTTCCAGCAGCCTTGCCTCGAACGGCTTTTTATCAAATCTTTTGGATGAAAGTATCATGATGTTTCATCGCTTGCTGCCCCTTGCCTTCTTCTCGATTCTGTCCTTCCCAGGTGTGTAAGGGGCCGCGACGCCGATGAAGGGCCTCTGATTACCTCCGGGCTCTCCCTTGAACTCGTATGTTCCGCTGGGTCCCAACGTTGCCGGAGCGCCTTGGCTTGGTCTGGCCAGCTGGTCCGCGTGAATCTTGTCGAGAGAATCACCGACGACGGCGTATTGTGACCAGTTGATGGGTGGACAGCGCACCACGTTCTGGGGCTTGGGAAGTGACTCCCACGGCTGTGGTGGTTCCTTGGCCTTGACTTGCGCGGCACTCCCATCTGGTTTGCCCTCTGTCTCGTCGTCCGAATCCGAATCAGACTCGGCGAACAGCTTGTCGCCTTGCGTGTGCACTTTGCCTGCGCCGAGGTCGGCGAGAAAAGCCGATGGGTTCTCTACGGCGGCGTTCTTTGCGGCGTTGAGCCCTTGGATATCGGCGGCTGCCTTTTTTGATTGCATCTGGAGGATGGAGATGGCCGACTTGAGGGCAAGGACATCGGGGTTGGAATCAAAGTCGATGGGTTCGGGACGAGGAGGGGGGATGGCGGTAGCGGCGGACGGCTGGGAAGAGTGGGTGAGGACTGGGCGGTCGGCAGCGAAAGGGGCGGGAGGGTCCGGCAGACGGGTCGGGGGTAGGGTCGGGGTTATGGGGCTGATGGGGGGCCGGGCGGGGGATGAGGAGCGAGAGGATCGCGGAGGGGTCTGCTGCGCATGTGGTGGGTTTGTTCCGCCTGCCGAAGAGGCTGTGGCAGCCGTCGGACCAGCAGCCGCAGACGTAGATGGCGCCGTCGCCGGCGCATTCGATGTGCGCGGCGAGATCGCGTCTGTTTGTATCGTGAGGCCGGGCATGGTCGGGGTACGGGCTTGCGGCTCGCTCTCGGGAGCAGCGGTGTTTCTTGTTTCTGTTTGTTTGTGGACGGCGTCTGAGTGTGTGAACGGGAAAATCAAAGGTTGAAGGTTGGAATGTCTCTCGTCTCGTGGTGGGGTTGAGGAGGGGAAACGGGAGTGCAATCGGAGCTGAATGTGCACCGTGCGTTTGGCGCGCCGCGCGTGCAGATAGCTCGGGAAGTTTGTCAGCTTCGGATACTAGCGCCGTGCAGGGAAGGCTGCATTCAGCTTAAATCAGGTTCTCAAGCGGGTGCTTGTGAGCTTGTGTGCCCATGAGAAGCTTCTAAAGAAGAAATGCGTTGTGATAGTTTCGACGATGAGGACGCAAAGCGGGCTGCGTAAGCCAACGGACGTAGGGGTCGGGTAAACCCAAAGTGCGTGCGCCAAGCGACGGTTTCTGTTTGTTGACTTTGCTAGTGTTGTTTATGTTGCTGGAAGTATTGTCCTACTTTTGTGGCCCGCCCGATTCATGCAACGGATTCCAAAGTCAAAGGCTTGGATGCAAGACAGGAAAATGGAAACAGCGCCCCAAGGTTGACGTTCAAATGCAGGTTCGCCACTGGCTGGCTCGATTGTGCCTGCAGAAGATTGTCAAGATCTGAACCATGTCGCCGAGGCAGGTGGTGCACGGCCCACTACATCTCGGAAAGCGCATGCACGTGCCAGGTGCTCCATTCATTTTCGCCAGGGTTCGAAGTACAGAGGTGAGCTAATCTGATTGGTTGTCATCCCGAGATTTCTGCTCAGCCGCTATTGTGAGGGGAGTCGCCGATGTACCTTAGGAGTCGCCGATGTACCTTAGGAATCGACGATGAACCTCTTTCCGGAGAGAAATGCCATGGGCATTGAGTTTAGGCCCAAGGAAAGAGCGTATTCTTGAATCACGATCATCTGGCGATCACGTCGAGAAAGCACTGATGCAATTCAGGTCTAGTAGTTCAGCTATCCAGCCAGAGCTTCCCAGAATCCGCCCAACGTTGTTTTGCAGTACGTCCGTATTCCCGCACAGCCCATGATCGATTTCCGAGCTTGCCTAGACTCGTGAGAAGCTCGACGGCCTCTAGAAGATGTGGTCTTTTACGCAGGAGAGGGCACATCTGGTGCACCGGAACGAGGAACGGAATCCGCGGGCTGCAAGCTGAATCTGTGATACATCAGATTGTGGCTGCAGCAAGAAAACTTGCTTCTTCCATTTTACAGCCTACGCGCTATCGAAATCTCGATATGGCCCAGCATCACAACTCCAAATAAGGAAAACTTGTCGCAAAAGACCCGCCGATACCTAGCTTGATCTCGGTCGGTCTCCAATATTGAGTCTCATCGGCGAAGATTTCGTTTCCTTCCTTGCCGGCGATCATCAGTGCATTCCTCCTCCTTTCAAACAGCCGACTGCTACACAAACGGGCCCCTCACTCAACCTGCTGGTTAGTAGACAAAGGATGCTGCGCCTCGACACGGGAAGCCTAAAGTGTGTGAGATGGATCTTGATCTTGTACCAGACCGCTGGGTTAGCCATGCTTTCAAGCTGACAGCACCACATTTCCCATCCAAGACCGTTAACAAAGGTCGAAACGAGACGCCGCCAAAGGGCTAGCTAGCACTTGAATTTTCTGAGCCAGTCTTGCGGTTTGGTTCCTGAGACACTACGAGACACCTAACCAAGGGATGGCTAGGCTGACGGTCGACCGAGGAGTCCGACGGTGGAACCCCCATTCCTTGCATCGTCCCAGCCCTCGAGTAACTTCAGGCAAGGGCTCTGTCCATGGTCCAAGGATGCCGCAGTAGTAGAGCGGCCGGGCAAGACGTCACTCATCTTGTGAGGGTGCCCTAACAATGAATACTAACCGTCGTTCCTTACGGTTTACCGCACAGTCTTTGCCAACGTTGGCGTTAGCGTATGATTAGCGAGATGTGGCGTCCAGTCGTATTGCAGGGCTGGCATATCGATAGGGTCGGGTAGATGGTGTCCGTGATGCCTCGCTCTTTCTGCCCTCAACATGGCAGGAGCTAATGGCACGAGGTGCTGAACACCGGGGTGGCATGCGCGACACGGCATGGCATCCACCAAAAGAAAACATGGAAGTTGCAGGCCAAGCCAATGCGCCTGCTCTTTCCTGAAGAAAAACATGGGAAGGCGTAAAAGGTAATCAACACGAGCGGGGCAAGAGCACGAGAGCGAGCCAGCGAGCACCTACCTTAGCGAGCATGCATGGCTTCTGAGACCTTTCCGTCCCATGCTCTTGTTTCCATTCCGCTTCTTTTGAGCCGGCGTCAAATTACACGTTACTGCCACGAGGTCCTTTTTCTCTCTCTCTGCTGATCTTCTCTACTTCTACTCCTCGCTCGCCAGTTCCTCTTTCTCTTCTTTCTGGCACTGCCTCAACTTTACTAAACATACGATCTCTCGATACTCAATCCAAAAACATCCAATTCCTTCGCCTCGAATACTAGTTATCAAACTTCACCATTCCTTTCCGCCTTCTCCGCACATATTCGAATCCCCCGAGCCACCATCACCTCCGCCCTATACGGAAATTGTACAACACCTTCCATCCTCACCTATCAAAGAATACTGTCAGACATCTTCTGCAAATCTCAGAAAATTCGGGAGCCTTTTTCGAATGCCTGTATAGCAGTCTTACTAGTCTATCCTCTCTCGCCGAACAATGCGGCTCTTCCATCGGCATCGAAACAAGCAGAAGAACCCGCCTCTCACTATCCAAGAAAACCTGCTTTCACCTTCCGACTCACCAGCACCTTTATCTCCCATTCGGAACTTCTCATACCCAACCGCGGCCTTACAACAACCGTCGGCACCTTCCGTTTCTTCAGCCACACAGCCGGGCGCTCACCTACCTTCTGCTGGCTTCGGAGAAGCACATACATCCACATTCAGTGGCGATATCGAGCCCCCATTCTACTGGGCTTCATCATACAGACCCATACGGGAAGAAGAAGTCGAACCCTCGACATACTCGCAGTCTTACATTTCCGATACTGGACCAGAGGCGTTTGTCTACGGCTAGGGACCGATTCCAGAGAAGAAGAAGAAGAAACGGCGAAGTCTCCTGGGAATCTCAACACCACAGAGAACCAAGAAGACCATCGAATCCGAAGGACTGCCCATAGTCTATAGAAGTTCGCCGCAGAATCCTGATCGAGATTCTCTCACTGGATCTCATACTACTCATCCATCAGCCCGGGCTGTCTTCGAAAGCCCACCTAAGAAGGCGTCTCCTCAGAAACGCGCTTTTGTTCTCGGCCATAAGTTCGCCAAGTCGGTCGATCTTGCATTCACTCACCTACGCCCAGCGAGCCCACCTCGCCCGGCATCTAGCTCGGGAATAGCAACAGTCGACACGCGAGCTGCCCCTCACAAGATCGGGCTAGCGATAGACGAAGAAGACAACCATCCAGGAACGTTGATCGATCTCTCAGACGACGAGATGGGCCTCAGACGCAGGATCTCGGAGATGGACTTGAGAATGCCCCCT